TAAATTATGAGAAGAATGAGAATTCTCAGGAGTGTTCAAACCAGTCTTCTCTTTATACCCACATTCTTGAATAAGACCTCATCCTCTCATTCCTTCATGCTCTTTTTTTGCCAGCAAAGATACTTAGGGGCATCTTGAGAAAGTACTAACTGAGGCAGCATGTAAAGGGTTAATTGAATATTGTTCAGTTGAGGTCAGACTAAAAGGAAGTTTCAGTGTTATCTCATTGAAAAGAGGAAAAAACTTCATTACTCTTCACAAACTGTGTGTCTAGAATATGTGTAAGCAGCCAAAGATGAGCTCTTAGATTCCAGAAGACGCCTGTGAGTTGTTAACATGTGCCCTTTGCCCACTGTTGGTACAATAGGCTTCAAATGTAGGGAGGTGAGCTATCTGACATCACTTGAAATGTTTTGTGTCAGGTTGGAAGACAAGGCAGGAGTATGTGTCAAGGCGATCACCTCCTAACATTGAAGGAACTATCAGTAGTAGGTGAAGCTCTCAGAAGCTGTGGAACATGTAGTGTGTACACAGGCAAGTGGCATTAGCTTGTCATGCAGTTTGCCCACAGGTAGGTGGCATAACCACTGCCTGGGTAGCAGACACACATACTGCCAAGAAGATAGTAAATTGTCATACTGCTGCCGTTAAGGTAAAAGTTCATGTGACCTGTTTGTCAGTTTACTGGTATCAAAGGATGGCTAAAGAGATTGTTTTAATTGTTAGGACACATTCATCAAAGGACTTTTTTATTTATAACATCAAGGAAAAATGACCTATGCTGATTTTCATTTTATATCAAGAACTAATTTTGGATTCTCTAGTGAGAATGACTGAATTGCCACCCAATTCTTATCATTGATCCAACCTCAGCTAATTGCATAGACATTGTAGATGTGCTGTATAAAACATGCAGATTTGTGTTCCAGTTGCTTACTGGGAACAGTCACTTAAAAATTCCATAACTGGTAACAGTGGACAGGTGTTATATGCCATTTGTGCTTTGTGGTAGTGTTACTGTTTTGTCCTTCTCCATGAAGAGAAATAAACCAGTTCAGTCCAGAGTTTTACTATTGTGACCAGAATCTTATCCACTTGTAACTACGACAACAAATATGTTTAATAATATAGTAAATTTTCAACTGGTCTCTGAACAGTTCACACTAGTAGCACTGTCCATGCTCCTGAATCATAATGTTAAATTGTGTTGTTTTCCTTAAGTGTATGATCTACGTAAATATTTCAGGAACATGGAGCCAAAGAAGAAGATAGGATGCAGTAGATAGAAAAGGAAGTTGAAGGAATAAGAGAGACAGATTCACAAATACTAATGGGAAAGCACAGCCTTGTAAAGAGAGCTAGTAAGGAGAAGGCAGCCAGAACTGGGGAGAAGTGTATTCTTGGGCATTTTATTGTGTTACTGTTTTTGATGTTTTCTTCTCCACAAAGGAGAACATTTTTCTTGGAAAGCCATGTATGGGGCATCTGGCTATTGACTTTTAAACAACATATAGTACACAGTGGGATTCACTACTCACAGAACTTCCTTGAATTTTTATAGGTCTTTTTATTTCTTAAAATGTTTAGAGATAAGCTGGGCTGTGGTGGCGCACGCCTTTAATCCCAGCACTTGGGAGGCAGAGGCAGGCGGATTTCTGAGTTCGAGGCCAGCCTGGTCTACAAAGTGAGTTCCAGGACAGCCAGGACTACACAGAGAGACCCTGTCTCGAAAAACCAAAAAAAAAAAAATGTTTAGAGATTAAGCTGAAGAGTGTTGGTACATACTTTTTAATCCCAGTACTCAGGAGACAGAGGCAGTTGGATCTCTGTGTGTTTCAGGCCAGTCTGGCCTACAGAACAAGTTTCAGGACAGAGGTACGAAGAGAAGCCAAGTCTCAGGGGGAAACAGTGAAGGATAAACTATTGAAGAGTTTGAAAACTTATTTGTGATAGGGCAGCATACTGAAACTCTCTAGTCCTACCAGCCCCTGCAAAATCAGTGACAGGAAAATGGGAAGTGATCAGTGATTACTCAATGGTTTTTGCCTTTCAGTCAAAGTCACTTGCTTTGACTACCATTGGTACTTGATTGATTATGAACCTGTGCATTTTGAACCAGCCCTTGGAAACTAAGCATAAAGGAAAAACAAGATAGTGAAGATTAGATGCTTAACATTTTTACTCACCAGTGATATCTGATACATTTTTTTCACATACATATGTGTGATTCAGTTGTGAAGACTGGGGAGATATCACAGCCAGTAAAATACCTTGTCTCATAACCATGAAGCCTGAGTTTTATTCCTAGGACTCTGGTAAAGCCAGACATGGATGTAACCCCAGTGTTCCTATAGAGAGATGGAAATCCATGTAGGTGACTCCCACACATGTGCTGTAATATGCATATGCCTGGTTAACATGAACATATGTATACATACTGTACAAATGCAAAGGGTTTTTTTTTTGGTTTTGTTCTGTTTTGGGGGATATTTTGGGCTGTCCTGGAACTTGGTCTGTAGACCAGGCTGGCCTTGAACTCACAGATATCCACCTTCATCTGCTTCCCTAGTGCTGGTATTAAAGGTCTGTGCCACTACTGCCTGGCTATGCAAACATTTTAAAAAAGAAAATGTATGATTGTTTCAAATGGTGGAGAATTGGACTAACATCCTCTAGTTTTGAAACAACTGCCATGGGAGTGTGAACTTACTGAGTATCTGATTCTTAGTTTCCTGGCCTGTAAGGGGAAGATAATGAGTAATTCATTTCTAAAAACAATAAAGCTAAAGGCTTTAAAGAAGGTTCAGTGGTCAAGAGCTCTTGTTCGCTCTTCCAGAGGACCTGAGTTCTGTTTCCAGCATCCACTTGAAGCAGCTCACCTGGAACCCCAGCTCCATGGAGCATCATACCCTCTTCTCATCATTACAGGCCCTACCATCACTCCCATAGTTACACGTAATTACAGAATTCAAAAGAAAAGCTGGTCAGCTGCTCTAAGATCAGTACTAAGTAATCACCCTATAACTATGGGTATTAGAATTTACATATGCAAGTTAATCAACAAATTTAAGATTATATTAGTTTTTACAGTTTTTCCTGGGCTTCCTTCTTTTACTCTGTGAATTAAACCATTGGTACAAATTTCTTTCCTTGATTTGATGTGTAAAATTGGATCATGATCGCAGAGCTCTTGTTTCTCACCTTACAGTTTTCTCAAAAACTGGAGAACTTCTTAAATGCATTTATTATCCTGTACTTTTTTGTTTGATCATAACTACCCCTGCTTCTAAACTCTTTATGGATCACTCAAGAAACACCATCCCAACATCATGACTTTCAAAAAAGCATATTTGATTTAATTTCTTGTGCTTCAATTGGCCAAGAAAAAGAAGCCAGAGAAAGATGAGACACTTGGGAGGGTGTTTCAATACTTCTGTTCATGAGGATGGTTGCTCAGGGGATGACAGAATATGTCCCTGACACGATTTTCCCTCAGACTCTTTTTCCTCCTTTACATTTGCTATGTGATCAAAAGTTTGTTCATTTCTGGAGAAAAAGTGTGATTAAATGTGTTAAATAGAATTAAAAGTTACTTAGAGACCACTTACCTGTCTGAACCCAGTTACTGCCCTCTGCACAGTTCAAACCTTCTGATTAAAGGAAGTAATTGATGAGGACAATATATAAATGAGCACCACAACATCTGTTCATTAAAGCTAAAGTAAGTACATATTTGGATTGTTGGAGTCTACCACTGTAGTGTTTGAAGGTGGCTAAAAGATCTATACCCATTTGAATCCTATCCCACGGCCTGGAACTTTTACTACTTTCTCAAAGTAAGGATCATTCCTGTTTTCTTAGCTTTCTCTTATTTTTATGCTTTTTTGGACAGAAATATTGTGTTCCTTTGAGATCTGTCTATCGTTGCTACTGGGTGCTCATTTTTCCAAGGATGTGGTATGGTAAATCATGACAGGAAGCTTGGAGGGTAGAGTGGGTTGAGACCCCAGAAACTCACACTTGCAACTGTAGGCACCTCCCTGTTCCCTCTCAAATTCCTGGCCTGGAATATAAACCATCTTTCCCATAAAAGGAAATGTGACCTGTAGTCATGTAGGCCCAGAACAGAGTTCTCCATGCTAATGAGGTCCTAGAGGCACTGAAGGTTTAGCCAATAAGCTTCCCTTCCCAGACATTCCTCTCTCCAGTAGGTATTTAATCTCAGGTCAACACTGAGAAGTTTGTAAGGTAAGCATCCTTTTTCTATGATGAACAATCAATAAACAGTTTAGAATCAAGGACTGTCTCTTTCATTGAGAACCACTGTGGGGAGAATGAAGCAGGACTTTGCTATAGAACCACTGCATAAATCACCCGTGGAAGGCTCATATGCACTCCCAGCCTTAACTGCTGTCAAGCTTAGGGCTTCACCAATGAGCAAAGCCAGAGCTACCATTACATCCAGCCTCAGATTAGACACCATCCCCAGCCTGTGTCATAGACTCTACTCTCAACTCCTCATGACTCTTAGGCGCCTGAATATCTCAGAGGCTCCTGAATGTCCAGGAGTTTGGGAGCCCCTGGTCACAGATTTCTTGTGGGTTCATGGACACCAGACAATTTGTCACTGACTTCTCTGTGTGGTTTTCAAGCAGCAACTAGACATCTGTGAGTTTGGGAATACCAGCTTCAGCTTTCCCATATCTTAGACTGCTTTTTCCCACTCCCAGAACAGTGCTCAGTGCTTCCCTGAAGCCCAAAAATTGCTATGGTCTCAGCCATCTTGCTATCACCACAGCAGCTGCAGGCTTCTCTCCACCTCCACCTCCTTCTGCCTCCTCCACTGCCACCATCACCACCAGGTGCAGAGACTCCCTGCTAGCATGCAGCGAATGGAGGCGAATCACAAAATTAAATCTTAAGTGCATCAGTCACAAATTTTGGTAAAATTAGTAATAACATCCATTGTGTATGAATACAAAACATATCAAAGAACTCAATTCATCAATAAAAAGTTTATACTTTACTAAGGAGGTGAATACATCTTCCTTCTTTTCTAGTTCTTAATCTAAATGGTTATTCTGCCTCCATTCAATGCTCAGGTTTAGTTTTCCAAATTAAAAATTCTAACACTCCTCACACATTCTTCATTCAAGGAAAGTTAAAGTTCTATTGTAATAATGAGAAGTTGTTTAGTGTTTCTTCATCCAGAATTGTATTGTATGTGAGAAGAAAAAACTGTGCATTGCAGGCTACTCCTTGCAGACATTTTTCTATATCAGAAAGCACCATAATTTATGACATTAGTGCACAATACAATTGCTAACTAGAACCCAAACTATTTTAATTTTGAAATTTGAAATCATTTCTGAATCTCAATGTAATTAACATTTATATAGTTTGTTCATTTTGATCCTTAATAAAGCTTGGCATTTAATGATTAAAATATTGAAGATATTAATATTGATATTAAAGCAAGTATTCTTCTGAATGGATTTTTCTTAATTTATTTTATGCTGACATTAGACTTTTATTGTTCATTTATATCCCAGATAAACTTCAAGGGAAATTTTTTCATATTTCTCTTGAATATCATGTCAAATCTTTCATTCTGCTCCACAGTCAAATGGTTTTTCCAGTCTCCAATGGTACCTAATAAGATAAGGACAGGGACCGCATAGAGGTAAGTAAATAGAACATTCAAAGCAAAGGTCACTCTTATCAACATCAGTATATTCTCCTACCCATATAAAATAACTATGACTTCTCTGTGGAGTTTCATACCTCACTTTTTTTAGTACAAGAATGTTCAATAAAAGAAACATATGCCATAACACATTAAACACTCTAGCACTTGATTGTCCCATATGTCAGCTGACCAATCAACCAATCTTTATGAAGAAATAAAAACCTTAACAAATATAAATACATGAAAATTTTTGAAGTGTATTTTACCATATGTCAAGCATCATACTAACCACACGTTTTAACCAATAAAATATAACAGGCCATATGGTTGTAGTTGTACATGTTCATGTTTGGGTCTTCTTTCTTGTATCTTTTGTTCATATATCTATTTTGGGCAAGTGGCATACTGTTTTTATTATTATATTTCTATAATGTACTTAGAAGTCTGAAATGGAAATCCCTCCATTAATTTATTGTTGGTGATGGTAGTCATGATTACTTTAACTATTAAGATTTGTTAGTAACATATTAATTTTAAGATGTCCTTTTGTACATTTCTGAGAAGAAAGTTGTGGGACTTTTGATTGAAATTACATTGGATCTAAACACTGTTTTTGGTAAGATGGTCATTTCTCTATATTAATTTTACCAATTCATGAACATGGGCAGTCTTTCTATTTTCAAATATTTTCCTTAAAGTCCTCACAGATTTAAATGTTTCTACAAAGCTCTTTCATCTTCTTAGTTAGGTTCTTTCCAAGATGGCTTATTGCCTTTGGATCTCATATAAATGTCATTATACCCATAATCTCTTTCTCAGCAAGATTTTGTTGGTGTTATATACAAAGGCTACTGATTTTTGTGAGTTGATTTTGTCTCCTATAACTCTTGAAAATTTTATTAATACAGGTTTTCTGATATAATTTTTTGATACAATATCATATCATATAAATAGGGATAATGTGACTTCTTTTCCCCATTTCTACATCTCTTTAATTTCTTTCTCTTGTCTTAGTGCTTTAGCTAGGTCTTCAGGGACTATGTGTAAAAGCAGTGGGTACAGTTGGCAGCTCTGTGTAATCCTTTATTTTAATAGAATAGTTTAAATGTTTCTCAATTTAGGATATTGGCTTGAGTTGGGTATATATAACCTTTATTAAGTTGAAGTCTGTTCCCAAAAGTTCTATGCCTTCTTTTTTTAAACATTTATTTATTTAATGTATATATCTTCATATACACAGGAAGAAGGTATCAGATCCCATTACAGATGGTTTGAGCTACCGTTTGGTTGCTGGGAATTGAACTCAGAACCTCTGGAAGAGCAGTCAGTGCTATTAGCCACTGAGCCATCTCTCCAGCCACAGTCCTACCCTTTCTATATAGCTTTTCTCATGAAAGCATGTTCAGTTTCGTGACTATTGGGATAATCATGTGGTTTTCCTCTCTAAGTTAATTTATATGACTGATTACATTTATAAATTTATGTATGTTGAATCAGCCCTGCTTTCTGTGAGGAGCTAACTTCCTGCGACTTATAAGGCAATGGAATTTAAATTACTTTTTACTTCTTGGGTTTTCAGGCATGGTTATTTTGGGTGCATCTGGCTATCCTGGAACTTGTTTGTAGAGCAGGGTGGTGTTGAGCTCAGAGAAGGGCCTACCTATGCCTCTGGAGTGCTGGGATCAAAAGCATGTCACACCCTGATAAGGAAGGTTATGGTTCTTAGAAAAGAACCAATGCCACCAATTTAATACATGAGAAAAATTCATACTCAAAATATAAAGCATATCCATATAACATAGATAAGTGTAGCTCTCACCAGTCACCAAAGAAATTTCTCTTACAAATAGGATATTCTCTATAGCAAACAGAGATTATTATAGAAAACTGTAATAGTCCATAATGCAGAAATCATAGGCTACTGTTGTGTTCATGCGTAATGAACATACATATAACAAGACTCCTATATCTAAGACTCAGGGTGCATTGTGAAAGGTGGAACAAAGTGTTTAAGAGTGATAATTGTGCCTCCTAAAAATAACAGAGAAGCTATAAGAGAAGAAATATTCATGATATTTCAACAGCATAGCTGCATATGGAAACACCTGAGCAATTATAATATCAATAGATGTGCTAACAAGAAAAGAAGAAATTTCAAGGGTCCCACCTCTAGATCAAGAACTACAGGCCCCCTTGCCTGCAGTAGAAGACATGGTTCCACCCCTTACCTGGACAGCATGGGAAAGCTGACACATGTGTTTTGAGTATCAATGAACTGGCCCCATCCCACACAAGATTCAGCTACACTATTTGGTAGAACAAGCCTGCACCCCACCTGCACAGCACAGTAAAGCTGGCTCTAGTGGGAAGGCTGCTGGTGAGCCAGCAGTTCCTAATCTGTCCAGTAGGTTTGGATACAGGAGAGCTATAACCCCTTCTCACATCAGCAGCAAGTGGGTGAGTTGGCCCCAAGGACATGAGAGCAGAAGAGCTATTCCTACCCTTCATTGGCTTCAGCACTCAGGACAGTAAGCATGCACTTCATGGGCAGCATAGGAAACCTGACCCTGGTAGTGGTAGCTGAGGTGAATTGTTGAAGATGTGAGCACACAAGAGCTAGCCCTGCCCTAAACTGGCTGCACTACTTGGGAAAATAAGCTTGCACCTCAGCAAGACAATATAGTAGAGTTGGTGCTAGTGGTTGGGTACAGGAGAGATGATTATCATGGGCTTTGAGTTAGTCCACCCCAACATCTACCCCATCTACAAACTGCTGTAGAATATAACAGTGCTATTGCTGCAGATCCAAACATATAGGATCTCCATGACATAGGGTAGTAACAGAATATCTGAAAGGAATCTAGGTGAGAATCCAGTATTGATAATACACCAGAAACCAGATTTCTCAGACCAGACCAAAGACTCAGTGCAATGAACATTTTCAAGTACAGCTGTTTGGACAAAAGTGAATACTGTATGAAATACCATGACACACTACAGCTTCCATGAAAAGCTTTATTTTCTTCTTTTAACTGATACAAACAGATATAACTGTGATTTGAATTTGGAAGCATCACATGACATTCATGAAGAATCGATAAAAAAGATTTATAAAAAAGGAGGTAAAGGCAACTATTAACTACTGTTAAAAGAAGAATTCACCTCTCCTAATAATGAGCCTCATATTTGGATAAGGAATACAAAGTAATTAGCTGACTGCCTGGGCAGACCATGAGCATGTCTGCTCTTCTAAAGATCCCACAGTCCGATGGCCCCCCAGGAGGTCTGCTACAGCCAGGCCACAGTTAAGGGATCCTAGCAATTAACCACAGCAGCTGGAAACCTTGAGGAGCCCAGTGGATTCAGAACCCACCTTCACCACAACCTTCAACCCTTACACAATCCCTACCCACTTTCTGGGCTGTGATGATGTGCAGACCATCATCTTGTCTGTTCTTCTGAAGACCCCACAGTCTGAAGGTCCTCCAGAAAGCCTGTTAAAGCCAAGGCCACAGGCCTACCAGAAGACCTGCAGCAACCCAGGGACACAGGAGGCAGGCTCCAGACAGAGACTACCAGACCAGCTAACACCAGAAATAACCAGATAGTGAGAGGAAAGAACAAGACCATAAACAACAGAAACCAATATATTTTGGCATCATCAGAACCCAGGTCTCACATTACTTCAAGCCCTGGATACACCAAATCAAAAGAAAACCAGGATGCTGACCTAAAATCCTATCTCATAAAGATAATAACATCTTTTAAGGAGGATATAAATAAGTCATTGAAAGAAGCATAGGAAAATACAAGTAAACAGGTAAAAGCCCTTAAAGAGGAACAAATCAATCTTTCAAAGAAGCACAGAAAAAAAAATCAAAAGGGGGAAGAAATTAAACAAAGTGGTCCAAGACCTAAAAGTATAAGTAGTAACAATAAAGAAAGCACAAATGGAGGCTACTCTGGAAATGGAAAACCTAGGAAAAAGATCAGGAACTAAGTTTGCAAGCATCAACAACAAAATACAAGAGATAGAAGAGAGAATCTCAGGTGTAGAAGATACCTTAGAAGATATTGATAAATTTGTCAATGAAAATTCCAAACAGAAAAAAACTTCTAACTGAAAACACCCAAAAAATCCAAGATACAATGAAAAGACCAAACCTAAGAATAATAGGAATAAAAGAGAGTGACAATTCATGGCTCAAAGGACCTGAAAATACCTTCCATAAAATCACTGAAGAAAATATCCCCAACCTAAGAAAAGAGATGACCGTAAATGCATAAGAAGCCTATAGAACACTAAAAGAAAATATAGAAGCAGAAATGACATTCTTCTTGTCACATAATACTCAAAACACCAAATGTACAGAACAAAGAAAGAATATTAAAAGATGTAAGAGAAAAATGCAAAGTAACATATGAAGGCAAACTTATCAGAATTACACCAGACTTCTCAACAGGGACACTAAAAGTCAGAAGAGCCTCAACAGAGGTCATGGAGAATCTAAGAGAACACAAATGCCAACCCAAGATATTATACCCTGTAAAACTCTCAATCTTCATAGATGGAGAAACCAAGATATTCCAGAATAAAACCAAATTTAAACAATATCTATCTACCAATACAGCCCCATAGGGGATTCTAGAAGGAAAACTCCAATATAAGGAGGATATCTACTCCAAAGAGAAAAGAAGATATTAATCACCTCACAACAAAAGCAAAAGGAGAGAATCACATAAACATAATGGTACCTAAAACAATAAATATAACAGCAACTAAGAATCATCTGTCTTTCATATCTCCCAATATCAATGGACTCAACTCCTCAATAAACAGACATAAGATAACAAACTGTATATGCAAGCAAGATTCCGCATTTTACTGTAAACAAGAAACACACCTCAATGACAAAGATAAACACTACCTCAGAGTTAAATGCTGGAAAAAAATCTTCCAAGC